GATCATAAGCATGTGTGAATTTGAGAGACTAAAGATACTTGCACAGTGATGGCCAGCAAGACCATTTTCTTGACATCAGAGCGAGACCCACGGCTGGGGTAACAACACTTGTTATTTACTGCACAATATTTCCATCAACGATGTTCTTCCAGCCATGTATATTAGCTGTGTTAGAAACATCAGGATGATTTTCAAGATTTCTTCTCCAAATGGCAGCTTGATAGTTATAATGGTATTGTGCGTCAATTATAATGATGTGGTGCCTCAGTTAGCTATAATGGTGTATTGCCTCAGTTATAATGGTGTATTGCCTCAGCTAGCTATAATGTTTATTGCCTCAGTTAGCTATAATGGTTTATTGCCTCAGTTATAATGGTGTATTGCCTCAGCTAGCTATAATGTTTATTGCCTCAGTTAGCTATAATGGTTTATTGCCTCAGTTAGCTGTAACAGGTGTAGTGTCTCAGTTAGCTATAATGGTGTATTGCCTCAGCTAGCTGGTCCAGTGGCTAACGCGACGGTCTGGAGTTTTGAGACTCTCTGATCGCGGTTCTATCCCCACCCGTGGTATGGTTTGTTTGCAATCGTGTCATTACGATTTCGCGAGTCTTGCCTCAGTTAGCTATAATGGGGCGGTTTTTTTTTTCTCCTCAGAGAAACATCTGGTAACTTAAATTACTTACTTTGTCGACCTTGCAATTTCTGCAATAAAGTTGAAAAAATAAATTTTAGCATTGTATTGGTCATTCTTGGAAAACTCCCATTTTGAGACAAATGCAAATGTGTCCTTAAATTTTTTGTATTCAAAAATAATTTTCGTGCCACATCCAGTCCAAGGATGTACTCCAGATCTGTCAAAAATGGACCAATGTTTGCAAGAGGGTCTTCAGGTAGAAACCTGAAGAGACCACGGAATTCCATGTATTGATAGACTGAACTAACTAAAAATCATTGTGACATTAGATCCTTCAATTACTCAGGTTCACGGACTATCTCACTATGTCTGTCTCTAGCCTCGTCTTTTTCTCTCTCATGTCACAATATTGCCCGTCTCTAGCCTTGCCTTGGTCTTCCATGTCGTAGCTTTGTTTTTTCCCCTCTTCCATGGCATTGTATGTCATTCTCTAGCCTTGTCTTGGTCACTCCTATATTAGTATTTCCTTCTCTAGCGTTGTCTTGAACCCTCCCATGTCAGTGTATCTCTCTCTAACTTTGTCTTGAACCCTCCTATATAATATGTCCCTCTCTAGCTTAGTCTTGGACCCTTCCATGTCATGGTATTTCATTCTCTGGCCTTGTCTTGGACCCTGCCATGTCAAAGTATGTCCGTCTCTAGTCATGTCATAGTATGTCCCTCTCCTCTCATGTCATAACATATCCGTCTCTAGTGTTGTCTTGAGTCTCCTATGTCATAGTTTTTCCTGGACCTTCCTGTGGCACAGTAACTCCGTCTCTTGCCTGTGTATGTTTTACAATGTTTTCTGTTATAATCAGTTCGCCTCCTGATCTACGCTGCTAAACTGAAAAATATATTTTATGCAGTATGTCCTTACATCATTTGCCTTCTAATTCTTTTACTGGTCAGGAGGAATACCATATCAAGCATCATATTGTATATTGCTAGGTAAGAATTTGGATCTTGTGTTGTTTCCTCGAGAATTCCTCTTTTGTTTCTGGTTCAAAACGATTTGAAGGCGTTTATTAAATTTTCTGAGTCATCTTTGTTTGCACATCTTTGTTTGCACACCTATGTCAGGTATTTCCTTTGTTTTAGATGACAGGTTTGACCTAATGTTTTCTCCTAGTATAATAAAATTATCCGATTATACGAGGTATTTCTATACCAGGTGGAACACAGTCATCGGTCACGTTTTATTACTAACTAGTGATATTACTCTTCAATTACTTGGGCAAAATCTCTAACAGCAATTGTTTGATTAATTACATTACTTGGTCATGTATTATTGCAGATCCATGCGGTCTCGTTCAAAATACAAACTGCAAATACTTTATCTGGGAAAGTCCATGAGAAGAAGTTTGACAGGATATCACCTGACTACAGTGTCATGTACGTAGAGCGAAGAATATTTGATGATCATAAGTGCCTTCGTTTTAATGATACTGTAATATCTCACTTTTTCTGTAAACGAGTTTATTGCTCTATTGAAGGGTTCCATACGTCGTCTGTCGGGATTAGATATTTTGAAGATAATTTGTGATTTGGTCCAGTCCATTAAGTGTCCTACGTCTCTGTGAAGCATGCATGTGTTGCTAATATCGTTCCTGTTGTTCACATTTCAATGTTCATTATTCTAGTGGACAAATTCCTGCCTGTCTCTCATACATATTTCTTTTAACAGTGACCACACGGGACTGTAAAGGCACAGGCAGTAAATTTAAATTTTTGTCTCGGGGTGCCGCCTCCTGTTTTTTTTTTTTTTTTTTTTTATTCGCCGATATTCTCCCGGCCGGGTCTTTTAATTAAGCTTTGTAACAGCTGGGGATGCCAAAGTTGCGACGTGGATGTTGCTTACAGCACATGTGTTATTGGCTAGATGAAGACTTATATTTTTGGGTAGTGTGTTCTCTAGATGTTGAGTCAAAGATGGCCTGCGCTCTCTATCTGCAATATTGCATGAAGAAAGTTTGGAATTGATATTTAGTAAATGCTTGAATATTGTAGGCATAGTCCCTTCAAAGAACAATAGGAAACCGATAATGGAAACCGATAACTACCCATCGTTTGGTGCATGTTTCTTGATGTAAGTAGCAATTTGCTGGCGACAAAGCTACTACTAAAAATGATGCAGACACTGGGGCTCCAGCACGTGATTTCTAGTATGGTAGCATTGCTACGGTAAGTGGCGGACATGAGGGTCGACATTTACAACCTCCATGATCAGATCAGCATAGTAGAACCCACTTAAATTTTCCTTGAGAAGGACGGACAACTTCATTTCCTGGACGTCTTTCTATTCACTTCCGAGGACAGCTACAAGCTCACTTCAGAGAATCTGTATTCAAAATCTGTATTCAAAGAATCTGTATTCTTTGAAGTGAGCTTGTAGCCGTCCTCGGAAGTGAATAGAAGGACGTCCAGGAAATGAAGCTGTCCGTCCTTCTCAAGGGAAAATTTAATGGTGGGTTCTACTATGCTGAGCTGATCACGGAGGTTGTAAATGTTGAACCTCGAGTATGTCCGCCACTTACCGTAGCAACGCTACGATACTAGAAATCACGTACTGGAACCCCAATGTCTGCAAATTTTCCTTGAAGATGTTTCCCAAAATATCGCTGAGTGCGTTCCTGATTGCTAAATCAAAGCAATCATTATAATAATCATTATAATATTTCTACATGTGCATGTACAAGGTATATAGGCCTAGCTGACAGCCGCTTGTTATGCACAGCATTTCGGGCAAATTAGGTCAATTTTGTCACCAGTCGACTAACATCCAGGTTACCCATTTTACTGGTGGGTGAACATTCACAGCAGGTGTTTTAAGGAAACGATTCCTAATGTTTCCAAGCGTACCGGGGATCGATCCCCGGAGTGAGCTGAGTGAGCCGGTGACCAAGCTACAATTAAAACTGATGCATAGGTCGATTCCACAAAATTCTAGTGTGGGGGGGGGAAAGAGATTAGTGTTGCAGTTAATCTTATTTGAATATTTCTGAGACAGCAGCACTGTTTTTGCATCGCTTTTGGCTAGCTATGGTAAATAATTTTGTTAGCAGTGTTTTCTATAACGTCTAGTGTTTGTAACTTAAGACACAAAATACTCTCTCTCTCTCTCTCTCTCTCTCTCTCTCTCTCTCTCTCTCTCTCTCTCTCTCTCTCTCTCTCTCTCTCTCTCTCTCTCTCTCTGTCTCTCTCTGTCTCTCTCTCTGTCTCTCTCTCTCTCTCTGTCTCTCTCTCTGTCTCTCTCTCTCTCTCTCTCTCTCTCTCTCTCTCTCTGTCTCTCTCTCTGTCTCTCTGTCTCTCTCTCTGTCTCTCTCTCGTCTCTCTCTCTCTCTCTCTCTCTCTCTCTCTCTGTCTGTCTCTCTCTCTCTCTCTCTCTCTCTCTCTCTCTCTCTCTCTCTCTCTCTCCCCTGTCTCCTGAGTGCTCAATCCCCGGCTAGCCACAGTATTGTTATTTGCTTTTAAAAACCACTCGCTCGTGGACGCATTATGTGTACTGCTCGTGAAGACTGGTATTCCAAACGGGACGAGAATGAAATTGGTCGTGTATCTTCTACGGTAATGTATGTGCTCACCTCAGGAGCGACATGTCCAGTTGGTACTGGCTACCTGATAGTTGAAGCATTAATGGTGACACAGTGGACTAAGGCGTCACCTAATTTTGTCTCAGTATATATGTTATAATGTATAAGCACCTATGTCAACTTCGTACCTGTTATTTCTAGACTGTGTGTGGTGTGTTGTTCATTGACCACTTTTCCTCTGGGTAGGATCATGAATCTAGGTTTCTTGACACTGATGTTTTTGGCGAACCTTCATTTTAACCCACACAGAAAAACAAGTCCTTTATCAGATTATTTAACCTCGAGGATCGTGTAAACCAGGATAATCCAAAATGCTACCCACAACATGGGTATCTATATACTGCTAGGTATTAGGAACAGCAGGTAATAAAAGAATCCCTTATATCCTGCCTCGTACGGGATCCATCCCAGGGTCGTCTTAGCTGTCAGCTAAGCATGATAAAGGACCTCAGGCTGAAGGTTCATCTGGGTCAGATTCACATGACCCAGATTAGAAGATCTGAAGCAAACATGTTCGAGAAAAAAGGCCTAGCGTTGAAATGGTCTTTGCCGAAACATAAGAAATTAATGAACCCAGGCCTAAAATTCCTAAGCTTAAAATTTCATGAGTAAAGCATAATAAGTTATAATGATCTGCAAAAAAAAAAATTGTCTTTGGTATTAAAGATCCTCTTTTATAGATGCTTCTTGACACAAAATTTATGTGAATACTAATCATGTTAATTTTTTTTCAGGCGTGATGAGACGGAGACAACTGGTGTTGAGGGTCATCCTGCTGGTTTACTCTCAAGTATACTACCCAGGCAAGTCATCTTGTTCTGTTTACTTCTCACTTCTTCAGTAAAATCTTCCGGTTTAGAACAGGTCGCTCCTGTCTGTCTCAACTATTGGACCACTACGACAAGGTCCTAAATGCACTAGAAGACAAAAAGAATGCAGATGTAATATATACAGACTTTGCAAAAGCCTTCGACAAGTGTGACCATGGCGTAATAGCGCACAAAATGCGTGCTAAAGGAATAACAGGAAAGTCGGTCAGATGGATCTTAATTTCCTCACTAACAGAACACAGAGAGTAGTCTCAACAGAGTAAGTCCGAGCAGCTACGATGAAAAGCTCTGTTCCTACAAGGCACAGTACTCGCTCCCATCTTGTTCCTCATCCTTATATCCGACATAGACAAGGATGTCAGCCACAGCACCGTGTCTTCCTTTGCAGATGACACCCGAATCTGCATGACAGTGTCTTCCATTGCAGACACTGCAAAGCTCAGGCGAATCAACCAAATCTTTCAGTGGGCTGCAGAAAACAATATGAAGTTCAACGATGAGAAATTTCAATTACTCGATATGGTAAACATGAGGAATTTAAATCTTCATCAGAGTACAAAACAAATTCTGGCCACAAATAGAGCGAAACACCAACGTCAAAGAACTGGGATGTGATCTTGTCGGAGGATCTCACTTCAAGGACCATAACATTGTATCAATCGCATCTGCTAGAAAAATGACAGGATGGATAATGAGAACCTTCAAAACTAGGGAGGCCATGCCCATGATGACACTCTTCAGGTCACTTGTTCTATACTAGGCTGGAATATTGCTGCACACTAACAGCACCTTTCAAGGCAGGTGAAACTGCCGACCTAGAAAATGTACAGAGAACTTTCACGGCACGCATAACGGAGATAAAACACCTCAATTATTGGGAGCGCTTGAGGTTCCTAAACCTGTATTCCCTGGAACGCAGGAGGGAAAGATACATGATTATATACACCTGGAAAATCCTAGAGGGACTAGTACCGAACTTGCACACGAAAATCACTCACTACGAAAGCAAAAGACTTGGCAGACGATGCAACATCCCCCCAATGAAAAGCAGGGGTGTCACTAGCACGTTAAGAGACCATACAATAAGTGTCAGGGGCCCGAGACTGTTCAACTGCCTCCCAGCACACATAAGGGGGATTACCAACAGACCCCTGGCAGTCTTCAAGCTGGCACTGGACAAGCACCTAAAGTCAGTTCCGGATCAGCCGGGCTGTGGCTCGTACGTTGGTTTGCGTGCAGCCAGCAGCAACAGCCTGGTTGATCAGGCTCTGATCCACCAGGAGGCCTGGTCTCAGACCGGGCCGCGGGGGCGTTGACCCCCGGAACTCTCTCCAGGTAAACTCCAGGTTTATATGTCATACAAAAAATAAACTCTGTAAGAAACCTTGTATTTCCGTTGATATTTCTTACAAAAATTAATGTTTAGGAATACTTTCCATAACATTTAAATCTTTCACTTACAATATTTTGAAGAACAGATTGAGTTTAGTTTAAAATGATTTTTGAAACTATAAATCAGTCGCTTGTTGAGAAAAATACGACCTATTGAGACGTGTGCTAACTCCTGGAAGTAGTTAACAATATCTAGTAACTAAAAAATGTGTGTCTAACAGAGGCCATGATTGGTAGACCAATTTTCTACTTAGCCTATGCAAGATTTAGCTGTATAGTCCTTGTGGCTTAGCGCTTCTTTTTGATTATAATATGCAAGATTTATTCCAATTGATAAGGACTTAATATTACCTATGGAAGGGATTATTACTGATCATTCTCTCAGACTAATAATATTTAAAATGAAAATCATTATTAGTTGGATAACAGTGTGATATTCTTATTATTTAACGTTGATAATTCAGTAATTAATATAATCATTTTGTAGTAATAATCGGCGAGTTATATCACTTTAAAAACGTGTTATATTATGTTTACTGATCTTATTTCCTTATTTTTAGTACAAAATCATTTATGAAATACAAACTATGTATTTATAAGTATATTTGTAGTCTTATATCTAACATTCAAAGTTTAAGTAACCATTATTTTTGTTCCCGTGAGAATATGCATTATTCTTTACTTCGTCTATAATTTATCTTACGATGTGTTACATCATTTACCATAATTAAATCCTTCAAAAAGACAGAAATCTTATTACTATTGAGTTCTAGTTTGGATGTTTTCAGTTTTACTGACAAGATCTTTAGTTGATACTGGAAAAGTGATGACCGTTAGTTGTCCAATCCTTATGTATAATCAACAACTAAAATCAGGATGATTGTAAAAGCTGCATCAATATTTATTAGACACTATTTAGAGATGTCATGACCTAAGTCATAATTCATTAAGTTCATCTTGTATGAGAAGCATTCTGTATGCAAGTAAGAGAGAATTCACTATTGAACATATCCAAACTAAACCTGATCATCATAGAATGTTCACAAGGAAGTAAACTTGGGTATCTGAAGAACAATGTTCACAGGGAAGTGATCTTGGGTATCTGAAGAACAATGTTCACAGGGAAGTAATCTTGGGTATCTGAAGAACAATGTTCACAGGGAAATAATCTTGGATATCTGAAGAACAATATTCACAGGGAAGTAATCTTGGGTATCTGAAGAACAATGTTCACAGAGAAGTAATCTTGGGTATCTGAAGAACAATGTTCACAGGGAAGTAATCTTGGGTATCTGAAGAACAATGTTCACAGGGAAGTAATCTTGGGTATCTGAAGAACAATGTTCACAGGGAAGTAATCTTGGGTATCTGAAGAACAATGTTCACAGAGAAGTAATCTTGGGTATTTGAAGAACAATGTTCACAGGGAAGTGATCTTGGGTATCTGAAGAACAATGTTCACAATGAAGTAATCTTGGGTATCTGAAGAACAATGTTCACAGGGAAGTGATCTTGGGTATCTGAAGAACAATGTTCACAGAAGTAATCTTGGGTATCTGAAAAACAATGTTCACAGAGAAGTAATCTTGGGTATCTGAAGAACAATGTTCACAGGGAAGTGATCTTGGGTATCTGAAGAACAATGTTCACAATGAAGTAATCTTGGGTATCTGAAGAACAATGTTCACAGGGAAGTGATCTTGGGTATCTGAAGAACAATGTTCACAGAAGTAATCTTGGGTATCTGAAGAACAATGTTCACAGGGAAGTAATCTTGGGTATCTGAAGAACAATGTTCACAGGGAAGTGATGTTGGGTATCTGAAGAACAATGTTCACAGGGAAGTAATCTTGGGTATCTGAAGAACAATGTTCACAGGGAATTAATCTTGGGTATCTGAAGAACAATGTTCACAGGGAAGTGATCTTGGGTATCTGAAGAACAATGTTCACAGGGAAGTAATCTTGGGTATCTGAAGAACAATGTTCACAGGGAAGTGATCTTGGGTATCTGAAGAACAATGTTCACAGGGAAGTGATCTTGGGTATCTGAAGAACAATGTTCACAGGGAAGTGATCTTGGGTATCTGAAGAAAAATCTTCAGATACCAAAAAAAAAGGTCACCTTCGGATTTGTTGTTGGTTGATTCCGAATGTTATAAATGTTCTTTTATATTCACTTAATTTCAGTTTTTTTTTCTGAATATTTGAAAGCACATATGCAAATATAAATGTTACATCATTAAGACATCAGAAATTTCTGATAAGTAGCCACCCAGGATAACCCAAGAAAGTCAGTGCGTCATCGAGGACTGTCTAACTTATTTCCATTGTGGTCCTCAATCTTGACCCCCAGGATGCCACCCACACCAGTCGACTAATACCCAGGTACCTACTTTCTGCTAGGTAAACAGGACAACAGATGTAAGGAAACGTGTCGAAAAGTTTCTACCCCACCGGGAATCGAACCCGGGCCCTCCGTGTGTGAAGCGAGAGCTATTGTGAAACTGAAATGTATTAGATCTCAAAATGTGACAAGGTAATTGCTAAGTATGTATTGTAGATTACTTATTAAAGGCAGTAACAAAGAGAATTAGTTGATATCAGCAGGAGACCCCTAACTTACACAGGTGAACATGGTCCAGCCACCACTGTTGTCTGTCACGGTCTGACGTCGTTCTGTGACGAATATAACATGGTGTCCTCCTCAGTACTTTACATTTGTCATGTAGAACGTGAATTATTGCGAACTCCTCTCCCACAAAATTCACTCATATATTTTATAATGGATTCAGATCACTGTTGCCAGTCATGAAGGTCGATCTGTGGGTCACACGAAAGATTTTGTTTTTCTTCTGAATTCCATTTATTCTCAACGCCTTGATGAAAGATTCACCATTATCGGGATCTTTGAAAGAGAATCAAAACTCCTGTACATATTAAGAAGGCAACATTGTGAACAATTATAAATACAAAAATTAGTTGAAATATAAGCAAGTAGAAAACTAATGACAGAAAAAGTGTCAACAGAAGTGAGCAGAAACTATTTTAATGCAAACAATCCAACTACCGATAAATATTCACTAAGTTCAGGTTTAAATTCCCTAATATAATATCTAAAATTTTGAAATCAAATTTATCTTATGCTCTAGCAACAATATTTTGGTGATATTTGGTATCAGAATAAAGTCTCATACTTGTTAAAGAAACTTTAGATAATCTAATGAGGGTCTTGAATGACAATTTCCTGTAACCGTATAATCTAATTTTGAAGTTTCTAAATGTCCTCGGAATGACGACTAAGATATATATGTACAACACCTGTCTATAATGTTTTCCCCGCAAAGCAGATTTTTTCAGACTTATGCAGAGGCATGGAGAGGAAGTGGTGAGATATAGCAGCTGAAAGTTTGTTTACCTGTAAGTCAGGGCCATAAGGTCCACGTCATGGTCACCTCATGGCCACCAATGGACCCTAATGGAAATAGGTCACTCTGACTTTTTTTGAGTTATCTTAGGTTCTCTACACATATGCTGCTATGTATGATAATCTATGTAACTTATTTGTGTATACCTGAATATACTTACATACACCTCATAGCTATGTCTCCAGCTGCTGCCTGAATAAGTCTCCGTCTTCATATCTGTGTATTAGATTGTTGAAGTTTTCTGTGCCCAAGTGTGTTTATTGAAGCTAGACGCTTCAACATATAAGATTTAAAATAAATGAAATGTCATTACAATATTAGAATTATTTATTATATATTCTTAATTACTAATTACATACATAGTCTAAGCATATTCTGTCTAAAAAAGGTTAATTTTTTTTTCTAGTTTTTCTTCTTTACTGGGTAAGAAGCAGCAGATTTAATAAATATATTTTTAGGAACATGTATACATTATTATATTTTTCACCAAATAAATTTACAATTATTTTTATGTTTAGTTAAGTGTTATGAGGTGTTATGAGGATGGTCAATAACACCCGCCCACACACCACATCCTCTCCCTCTTAACAAGGAAGCACCAATTCTTCGTCTTGAATAGTTACAATTGGGTTTCAGGAACAACGTCTGTCCTGGCCGCCACCAGCAGCAACAAATCAGGGATGTTTGCCAAGTTTACTTCTAACGAAGGTGAGAGAATCATGATGTTAGTGGACACTCCTCAGAGTGAACCTTCAATGGTATGTAAACACTGAGAGTAAATAACAATTAAAACAAGTGTTTTGCCCACTCACAGATTTTGTCAAGCCACTAGAGAATACACAGAAAAGATCTTATGAACAGTTACAGACAAAAGATGAATTGTTGGAGAGTATCTAGTGCCACAGGAGCACTGCTGCGTGAAAACTGAATAATTATGTGGGCTCTCGGATTCCTGGATAACTTGCGGATAAGCGGAATCTCTAGCTTACAGAAACCTTGCAAGTTATCCAGGTGTACACCCTGCAGTGTCCAGTGAACCGAGATACATAACATACATATAGAGGACCAAGCGAATGTACACAAGTAGAGCACCTCTAGTGAAAACTGTGACCTTGATCACTTCAAATGTATGAGGAGTATGAGAGAAGATTGGTAGGTGAGTGGGTAATGGTACTGGTAGCATTATTATGAATATATGGTAGTAGCAGTGATGTTAGCGGTAGTAATAGTAGTGGTAATAGTAGTAGTGGTAATAGTAGTAGTGGTAATAGTAGTAGTGGTAATAGTAGAAGTGGTGGGGGTAGTAGTATTAGTAGTGGTAATAGTAGTAGGGGTAGTAGTAGTAGTAGGGATAGTAGTGGTAGGGGTAGAAGTAGTGGTAGGGGAAGTAGTAGTAGTAGTAGAGGTAATGGTGGTGGTAGTAGTAGTAGCGGTGGCAGTAATAGTGTATACCTTACCTTACCTGATGAGTTGCGAGAGTCTTACTACTCCCGGAGCCCCGCAATGGGCCTCGCTTGTTTGGTGCTAGCCTGCAGTAGTACAAGTAGTAGCGGTAGTAGTTGAGGTAGTAGTAGTAATAGCGGTGGTAGTAATATAAGTAGTAATGGTAGCAGTAGGGGTAGTAGTAGAAGTAGGAGTAGTAATAGTAGTGATGGTAGTAGTATTAGTAAGCGTAGTAGTAATGGCAGTAGTAATAGTAGTGATGGTAGTAGTATTAGTAAGCGTAGTAGTAATGGCAGTAGTACTAGTAGCTGCTGTAATAAATGAATAACACCAGTATTGGAGAAGGGTTTTTTCCAAGGACTTTGTCAACTACCACCATCTTGGAAGCATCTTATAAAATCATACCGGCTAAGGTTGCGGAAATGTTAAGGTGCCCAAAAGGACTCAGAATCTTTCTCTAATGTTGTACAGAGAAGAGTGCTTGAGGAAGGAATGTTTACCATAAATTTTTAATTCAAGAGAAAATTTGATGGTTAGTTCTAGTGTTGATCTGTGTTGGAGCTCGTCTTTGTTCAGACATCTGGGAAAGAAGACTATGATATACACAAATAATCCGCACATAGAAGAGAGGAGCTTACGACGATGTTTCAGTCCGACTTGGACCATTTACAAAGTCATACTGACTTTGTGCGGATTATATGTGTATTGTTTCAGTCACTGTATTGTGCCTTTTTTGTTACTATGATATCCTCTACCGGAGTCATGTGGTGATGTCAGAAACTATAGTGGAAGCCTTCAGTCTGAAGCTTCTCTATAAACAGGCTCGTCAAGACAGCACTTAGAGGACTGTCCATTGCTTAGCCAAAACACATTTTGAAAAACTTTTCTTCAAAATTAATAGAGATGAAGTTAGCACTACGGTCCACCAGGGCCATGAAGATTTCGTTTATTAGTAAGTTTTCTTTGGAGAACATTAGTAAAAAGATAAGTAACATCAAGGGATGCCATGTGTTTGCTTCACATGTTGATGACAGAGTTGAGGCTGAGCAAATCCCCTGACTGCTTGAGATGGGCTGGACTGATGGAACCCAGAAGGCTGGACCAGGAGGTCTGTTGGGGCTTTCACAGTGTCCAAGGTGATGGTCTGATGGTAATACCTTGTTAATGTGTTTTGTGAAGCCTGTAGAGTCTGGTGGGTCTAGGCTACCTGGGAGAAGGTGAATGAGTAATTTATCTTGTTCGGATCTACAAAGAATGTGTAGTGCCTCTTGGAGAATGTTGTTGATACACTTAGTTATTACTCAGTGATGGGTAGATAGGTGTTGAGAAGATCAAACACGTGGTGGTTGTAGTCACTTGCATCTAAGAGTGTAACAACACCACTGGCCTTTGTCAGCAATAGTGACCCAAACGTTGTTCTTGGCCAGACCACTCAGGGCTTGTATTTATCACCTAGCAATAATAGGAGAAGGGATCTTGGTGATCTTGAGAACTAAGTTAAGGGCCTTATTTTCATTGTAAATCAGTGAGACAATATGTTGTTAATGACATCCATGCATCCTATGTCGCTCCACTTACTATTAAAGCAGAGGATTTCTAACGTGCGTGGAATCCTCGTTTACTAGTGCGGTCAGTGTGTCGGTGATCTCACGAAGAAGGAAGTCTCCTTCTTGTTCTCCTCCCTAAACAAATAAGAGCATAAACCATTCTCTGTATGAAGTATGACAAAGTGAAACTGGGGGAGACCTGTTTACAAGAATTTATGAACACAAATACTTCTGCTGCAAGTATGACACTAGTAACGTGTCGTACACATAATGAAAGATATCTGCATTCGAGAAATGTTAAACTATTCTAGAATGAACTATTTTTGAGGCGACCATGTTGCCTCGAAGAGTCACCCATTGATACATCGAACACCAACATTAAAATAACTGGCAACTTAATATTTCGAAAACCTTAGCCCATATGAGCTTTGAACATTTTTCCAAGAAACTGCAATATGACGCAGGAACTTCTGACGTCCTTCACTTGCTAGTACCGCTAGTACCGCTCCTGCTGTTACTACAACTACTGTTAGCATTATTATTATTACTACTACAGCTACTATTAGAACCACCACCACTACCAGTTACCACTAACACTAACACCACTACTATTACTCTCTCCTGCCCTTATATATAGCCAGCCTTCTCTCAACTTCTAATATATTTAAATTAGTGTCTTTTTCTATGCATTCCTCAAAATTTCCTTCAAGTTACCAACATTCTCACTACGACTGGAGGAACACTGAAGTCTGCCTAATAACTAACCTGTTAAAGATACCTAAAGTGTCGTCTTCAAGGTTCCTTGTAGTGGTAAAGAGGTTTTTGGTCTGAGGATTTGGACCTCTGTTTTCTTCCTCCGACCGACCCTAATTACCGCACACTCTTCCCTTCCCTGTCCCATGCTTCCCATCCCTAAAATCCCCACCCCCTTCCCTCTCCTCCATTTCCTACTTTTAGCCTTTGTGGTCCTCCCCTAAGGAAATTTAGCTCCTAGGTTGGGGGACGGGTATCGTTCTCCGTCCCATTTAGTTGAGGTCCTTGGTGGTAGTGGTGTAGTTTGCAGTGGTATCTGCATTATCAGGGATGTCCCAATCTCTCTCTGGTCGCCCGGGCGGAGGCTTGTAATGTCTTTCAGATGATGGGTGTACCTCTGTAGGCTACCTGTTAGTTTCTGGGAGGTGGTGGCCGAAGGAGGTATGCCTTGTAGGGGGTTTGCGACCGCCCTCTCTTGTTCACCGAGGTGGTTCAGACAGTATGAGGCTGCTATCCTGGATTGCCGGTTTACTAGCGTGAAAAGTAGGGTATGGCACGGGTACCATGTTGTGTCTACCGGCCACACTGAGGTTCTCTTGGGGAAAGGGGAAATTTGCGGCCCTTTTATTCCTCTTAAAAGCTACCCCTCCACTTCCCCCCCAGTCCCTTTTTTTTTTTTTTTACCTTTTTAACTTTTTTTTTACTATTTTTTCGAAAAAATCCAAAGACGAGTGATTTAACCATGGAGTTCCAAATCCATGATACCTCTCCTCCCAGATCCCTTTCTGCTGCGGTGCCCTCTTCCAACCCTGCTTCATTATCAGACCATTCTTCGGACCTTTCTAACACCCCAGCTCCTTCTACAGGTAACATTTCGTTGCCCGCCCCTGGTACCTAGGCTCCGCCTAACTTCTTTGATACAACCGACCTCTGCATGTCTTTGACCATGCTTCCAGCTTCTCCCTCTATGTTGCGACGATTTTCAGATCACCCGCACATCTCACGATGAAGCACCTCCTGTCCCACACCTGAACGACCACGACCATTAACAGATGACACTGCTTCGATTACCTCTCACTCTTTCCAGAAAAGACTAACACAATGCTCACTCCTCTCACACACTACGTTTCAAAGTATTCACTTGACTAAGTTTTTTCACTCTGCAACCGATATCTCCCACTGACTATCTTTCTGATCATAGTATCAGCAAGACACTTCTGCTCCATGTTGGTCAAAATATTTCATTTCATGGTCTTAAGAATGGTGCACGCATCGTCACGGTGCAAAATGCTGGCCAGGCTCACAATCTTTCCCTTCATATCTTCATAGATAATATTCCTGTCGCGATTCGAAAACTCATTTCTCTCAATTCTTGTAGTGGCGCCAATGTTTAACATGATTTTCGGACATCTGATGACATTCTGGAGCAACGTGAACTCTAAGATCTCCCAATTCTCAAAGTGGACACTTATGTACTACCTGCCCGCGGGCAGAGACGCTTTCCCTTCAATGTAACTCGCTTAACTTACTGCCGAGAACTTCCTTCTTCAGTTTATATTGTAGGACATCGTTTACAAGTCCGAGAGTTGATCCCTACACCATAACAGTGTAAAAATTGCTGGTGCTTCGGCCACCAGTGATATATTGCAGGTCCATGGCAGAGTGCCTTAATGAGACTCACCCAGCTTAGTCACGCCTTTGCCAAGTTTACTTAAAAGAACGAGAAATCTGCTGTCTCAAAGAGAAAGATGGTTTCACCTACGCCATGAGTCTCTCATCTCCACCTCCAAGGGAGGCTTCCACGACTTTCTTATTCTAGTTACTAAGCGGCCTCCATCCTGGGTGGCACCTACTTCCACAATCTCCTCTGTGATCACAACTTCCACAGTCACCTCTGTTTCTAACTCTTTTGCAACCCTGAACTCTGAGGTCTCTACCTCGTCGCCTCAAACTGTCCTTGAATCT